CTCCGGACCCCGGGGGTCGCCCCCCCCCCTCTTCCGAAAATCCATCCCCCCCCCCCCCCCCCCCCCCCCCTGCTGAACCCCCGCCCCTCCCCCCGCCCCCCCCCCTCTCCCTCGGCAAAACCCCCCCCTTCCCCCCCCCCTCCCCCCCCCCCTCCCCCTCGAAAGCCGGGGGGGGTCACTACCGGTTCGAACCCCCCCACCCCCCTCCGGATCCGGAAAACCGGGGGGGGTCACTACCGGTTCGAACCCCCCCACCCCCCTCGAAAACCGGAGGGGGATCACTACCGGTTCGTCGAAGAAAGGGAGCCGTTCGGATCGCGAGCGCGAACGTCGAATCGTCGGGCGAATCGAACGAGTTCGTCGACGTTTCGGCCGTGGAATCGGTCGAGAAATCGAAGGTTTCGAGCGAAAATTGTCGGAAATCGCGATCGGAAATCGTCGTCGTCGCGATGCGGCGTTCGAAACGACGTGACATTTCGGCGCCATAATACCCCCTTTTTTTTGTTTTTTCCCCCCCCCACGCACCGCCCAGCAAACGACTCCGGTCCCCTACACCGTCCGCATCAAATCCCCCACTGTTGTTCCCAGCACCAGTGTCCTCACCACCACTGTCCCCACTGGTTCCACCACCGTCCCTACTGTCCCCACCAGTGCCCCCACCACTGTCGCACTGTCCTTACTGTCCCCAGAACTGTTCCCACCACGGTTCCACTCTCCCCATTGTCTCCACGGCCCCAACCACTGCCCGACTATCCCCACTGTCCCCACTGTCCCACTGACTCCTCCGCTGTCCCACTGAGCTGTCCCACTGTTCCCACCACTGTCCCCACTGTCCCGACCACTGTCCACACTGTACCTCTGTCCCATTGTCCCACCGCTGTCCTCGCCACCGCCTTCACCACTGTCCCCACCACCATTGTACCCTCCACTGTCCCACTTTTTCCACCTCATTCCCATTGTCCCCACACCACTGTCCCCACCACCACCGTCCCCACCACTGTCCACTGTCCCCCCCTGTGCCCGCCACTGTCCCCACCACTGTCCCCACCACTACCGTCCCCACCACTGTCCCACTGTCCCACTGTCCCCACCACTGTCCCGCTGTCCCCTCACCACTGTCCCCACCAACACCGTCCCCACCACTGTCCGCACCCCCACTCGATTTTCGAGGGGGGGGGGAGGTTCGAACCGATAGTGGCCCCCCCTGGTTTTCGAGGGGGGGGGGGGAGGGGTTCGAACCGGTTGTGACCCCCCCCTCTGTTCATGATGAACTGGGGGGGGGGGAGGGGTTCGAACCGGTAGTGACCCCCCCCGGTTTTCCGGAGGGGGTGTGGGGGGGGGGGGAGGGGTTCGAACCGGTAGTGACCCCCCCCGGTTTTCTGCCAGCAGCCGTATAACACGCTCTTTCTATGGTGAGAATGAGGAAAAATAAGCATGGATGAAGGATAACGAACAACATTATTTTAACAGCGATGCCAGAAAAGGCAGCAAGGAGTTATCGTTAAACTGTCCGCTTGACCTTCCTGCCTTTCCCGCCTGCGTAGTAATCTTGAAGGACCAAGGTGCATGGCGCGAAGCGCCACTGCAGTCTTCAATGTGTTCATATATATATATATATATATATATGTATACACAATCCCTTCTCGGAGGCCGCTGTGGCAGTTCGATACTGCTCCCGGCGCCTAGCCAGGGAGCAGTATCCCGCCCCCCCCAAGAGGAAGAAGGGGCGTCAACCAGGCCGCCGCCTCCGCCGCCGCCCCCGCCCGAGCCACGGGGAGGGAAAGGGAGGGGAAGGGGTGTCCACCCACCGCCGCTGCCGCCGCGACGTTGGCCGCAGACTCCTGCGACGCGCCGCCAGCCTGAGGGCCATCGGCACTCTCTCTCTGGGAGGTCTCTTGGGGCGTGTTGGAGGCCTCTTCGGCCATCTTGAGGCCATGCCATCTTGGGCGTCGTGGGGCGATCGTTCGGCGTCTCGGGGCCGTCTTGGACCGTCTTGAGGGCCTCGTGGGGCCCTCTTGGCCCGTCTTGGGGCCCTCTGAGGCCAACAACTCACCCGCCACCACGCGGGGTAGCCCAGGTGGTACGCGGGAAGCCCCGAGAGATTTGGCAATTTTGGGTCCGGGTCCCTTGAAGACTCCTCAGGAGGGGGGTTAAGGCTTAGAGGATGAGGGAAAGGACCTGAGAGCACGTCCACTAGGTGCCCAGAGGCACAGTGGTGTATACACATATTTATGTATATAAATATATGTGTACGTATGTATGTTTTCGAAGCGCGCGCGTGGTTCTAGTATACATATATGTGTACGTATGTATGTTTTCTATGTCTGTGTGTATGGCTATATATGTAAAGATGCTTGCCCCTCACATGATCATACAGTTTCGTCGTATCGTATTCTTCTTCCTAATCGTATTATTTTTCCTGTTCCCCGTCTTAATCCAACAGAACCCTGTTCGTTTTTGCAGGGGTGGGGGAATCTGCCTAACATCGACGTGGTTTTTTCCAGGAACATGGCCGCTGTTCGCGGCGTTTCCGGTGTGTAATACAAATAGAGTATTTTACTGCGGCTTTACACTCGGATTCCTTTTGTGGGAGATTTACACATTGATTCCTATTGTGTGGAGTACACAGAGAATCCTTTCGCGCGGCTTTGCAATAGGAGCCCTGATATGGGCGAGTTATGAACTAGTGTCTGCTGTGCGGAATACACATAGAAGCTGTTTGTGCGGTTTTGCAAGGATCTTCCTTTTGTTGGAGATTTACATTGATTTGTAAAGTGTGGAATACAGATATAATTCTTGCATGCGGTTGAACAACATGATTCCTTGTCTAGGCGATTTGCAACTTTTTATTGCCGTGTGGAATACACATAGCAACTGTTTGTGCGGCTGTACTTTTGTAGGCGATTTCCACATTGATTTTCGTCGTGTGGGATACACCTATAATCCTTTTGTGCGGCTTTACACCCGGATTCTTTGTGTTGGTGGTTTGCAAAGTGATTGATTTCTACTGTGCGGGATTCACATAATACTTTAAAGCTGCTTTGCAATAGAAACCTCCTGGGGCTTCTGAGACCTCCTGGGCATTGAACAATCAAACAAACACAAGTAACAACCAACAGCACCCCAAACACCAACGACCCTTTGCTGAAAACAATAAACAATACAGGAAACACAACACCACAAAGTTTGCAGCACGCTCTTTGTGAGGGCGGCGGGGTTGGGGTAAGTGCTTTTCAGTATTCAGGGTTTGGTTTCTTTGTTTTGTTTGGCTTTATGTGGGCTTTTGTTTTTGTCGATGCCTTCCACCTCCTTCCTCACCAAGATCTTTCCCTTTCTCCTCCTGCAGGAGCGTGGAAGGCCGCCACGCTCCTGCAGGAGGAGGGGGAGGGGAAGGATGAGGATGAGGTGGAGGGGAAGGATGAGGAGGAGGTGGAGGAGGAGGAGGACGAGGGGGAGGAGGTTGAGGAGGAGATGCTATGGGATGCATGGAAGGAAAATGTGTATGATCATGTGGGGGGCTTCCTTATATCCTCACATTCCAATGTATAAGCAAGAGGAGAAGGGGATGTACGCCGAACCGCAACGTTCGGCTCAAGCGTGAACCCAAGCCTTTCCATCAATTCCCTCGAACACGATTTCGTTGAGATCGTCCGTTGGGTGGGCATAGGCGCTGCAAGCCGCTCGGCTGGCCAGAGCTGCGTGCCGTGCATCTTCGACTGCCCTGCCTGCCGCTGTGCGGTCACCTGTCCTGCGTGCTCGACGGTACACTGCGGGCACAATTTCTCGGGCGGGTGCATCGCCGTGCCAATCTGTCTCGGGCTGGGCTACGTGCTGGCCCAGCTGCCTGGGGCCTGGGTCCTCGGGTCTCGGGCGGGCCGCCAGGCCGCCTGCCGAACCGGGCTGTTCTTCGCCGGGCTTGCGGAGGGGAGCTTCTACCTGGTGCGCTTTAGCGTGCTGGGCACCCCACTCTGGCATGAACGCCTGTGCGTATACCTGCCAAACCAGCCTGGCACGGCCACCTGCAGCTTCGTCCCAGATGGCGACAGTCACGAGGAGGACCTGGCTCCAGGTCGAGACGCGGCGGAATGGTGCTTCCTGCCTGATGGCGACGAGAACCCAGGCGTTATCAACTCGTGCGACGGCTTCCAAGTGTTTTTGGACCCAGGTTAGTGGGCTGGGCGCCTTACTGTTGGCGGTGAAACATCTGGGTCGTAGTGGTAGCCGCTTCGTCACGCGGCGACTCGTATTCGCGGGCGACCTCCTCCTCCCCCTAGCTATGACAATGGGGGGGCCAATGCTTTGCATCTTCGTCGGGTCCTCCGAGAAATTTGCGCCGCCTCAGTCTCTGTTCAGGCGCGAAGTCTGTCGCCGAGTGGATCCCCCCTTCAGAGTGGAGCGTTGCAGATGCCCCGACGCCTGGCCGTCTGGTCTAGTCCTCTGTCGGGCACCTGCCTTCGGTGCCCCGGCCGCCGCGTGAGCCGCCGGCGCGGGGGCTGCATGGGTCGGGCCCTGCGCCGGCCGAGCAGCGCCGGGCCAGGAAGCGGGGGCCGCTTGCCCTGGCCGCGGAGAGGGGCCGCGCCGCCCGCGAGGCCGTGAGCCTTCAGCCCAGCCGGGGTGGCCTGAGCGCGCTGGAGAGGCCGGCGATCCGCCCGTCCACGGAGGCGCGCGGATTCTTGCCAGCAGGGGGGCCGCGCGCGGACGAACGTCGCGTCGCTGGACTCGGTGGAGGTTGCGTTCGTGAACCACCTGTTCCTGCTGAGGCTCGGGCTGGACGTGGTCTTACAGGACCCTGTCGGCGCTGGGCCACTGGCTGCCGGAGCTGGGGCCAGCCGCCGGCGCGGTGCTGCCGCGGGCCACGCGCTGCTCAGCTGCGTGGCGGAGGCGGGTGCCAGCGCAGGCCCGACTGCCCATGTCGCGTGCGGTCGCCGGCGCGCTTGCGGGCCTGTTCATGAATTGGGGCCTGCAGCGAGCGGGGCTTTTCTGCTTCTGGAGCTGGTGGCCTACTGTTGGCCGCGCGAGCTGACCAGGCTTCGGGCCCGCCACGTGGCGCCGACGGTGCCGAATGCGGGCGCCGCAAAGTCCGCCCGGGGGATCCTGCTGGGGGACGTGGCCACGCTACAGCCTGGAAAGACGGACGCGTGGGGCGAGTTGGCGCCACTGGGCCTCGGCCCTCTTGGGCCCCGAGGCCGCTCGCGGCGCTGACGGGCGCCCTGACGCCCGACGCGCTGCTGTGCGACCTCGGCCCCGCCGACCTCAAGGCTCGGTTCGAGGGCGCGGCCTCGCCGCTGGGCCTGGCGCCACTGCGGCCCAGTCTGCGTCAGCTGCGGCACGGTGGCGCCTCCGAGGACCTCGCCTTGCAGCGCAGGCCGCTGGCCGCAGCGCAGAGGCGATGGCGATGGCAGAGCGAGGCCTCGCTCCGCAGGTGCAGCAATGAGTCCGAGTTGCATGCTTTCCTCAACCTCGCGCATCCAGAGGAAGCGCCCTTCGGCTGGTTTGTGGTAGACAACCTGGATGCGGCGCTGCACTACGGGCTGCTGGACCAGCGAAGCCAGATCGCGCGCGGGCCCGCGACGTCGGCGCCGTTGGCCACGGGCCCCCCCGCACCTCTGTCCAGAGGTGCTGCCCGGGGAGCCAAGCGGCCGCCTCGCTGACCGCCTCGGGCGCCGAGGTCACGCGGCATCTCCACCGCCGCTTCGGGGCAGAGATCAGGCGGCCCAACCGTGATAGGCGGGCGCTGGGCTCGCGCTGCTTCGTGGAGCTCTTTAGCGGCTGCCGGGCTCCTCTCGCAGGCCGTCTGGCGGCTCGGCGGAGCCGCGTTGCCGCTAGACTGGGCCCGTGGCGCCGCAGAGGACCATCTCCGTCGCGCTGTCCTGCGAGTCGTGAAAGGTTGGATTCCTTTGACAGTTTTTTTTGGTTTTGCGTATTTCTGGGGGTTCCGTGCCATTCTTGGCCCCGCGCCGCCCGGGTCGTGCTCGGGGCGCCCGCCGAGCCCACGAGGGTGCCGAACCTCTGCGCCGAGCGCCAGAGGAAGGTCTATGTCGGGAACGCGTCATTGCATTTTAACATCACTATAATTCGATTATGCAGACGGTACCGTGTTCCTTTTGGTCTCGAGAACCACCGCGCGTCAATCTGGTGGCTCGCGCCGCCTCTCACCCCTCTCCTTCCGCGCTGAAGACTGTCGAATTCCTCGCTTCATCAGTGCGCCTGCGGTGCCCAGTGGAGAGGCTGCCACCGTGGCTATGTGGGGGCTGGTTATCGCGACGACTTGTCACTTTTGTGCGGGGACCGAGGAGGCCTATGCGGTCACGCTCGACGCCCGCATGTCACCCTTCATGGTCGCGACCCCGGGCCCCCGCTTAACGCGCGGCCTTGGCGGCCGCCTATCCCAAGAAGTTGTGCGTGGTCTTGGCCAAGCATATGGTGTCTGTTGCCCAGGGGTTGGAGTCCTCGAATAAATTCTTAAACGCGAGGGTTATCGACCTGAGGGCCAGTTCACCATTCGGGAAATTGTGGACGATTTGGCGTCCAGACCTCCAGTGCACTGCATTCGTTCGTGTTGGTGGTCGCTACGATTCCATCATTGGTACATCGTCGCTGTAAAAAGTGACGAAGAGCTTCAGTCCTTGTGACCCCGTGAGAGCTTTTAACGGGGGGTCTCGTCGGTTCCTGGTCCTTTTGCATGTTTCTGGCGTCGGGGGCCGTAGTGATGCAACAAGAGCAGGGGATGGACGCTGAACCGCAACGTTCGGTTCAAGCGTCCCTTCCCGCTTGCCCTTTCATTCAGCTAATGTCCCCCGTAGGGGCTGGCGTCCAGACCTCCAGTGCACTGCATTCGTTTTTGCCGGTGGTCGTTGCGATTCCGCCATCGCTACATCGTCTCTTCAAAAAGAAGAGACTCAGTCCTTGGGAGCCCTTGGGATCTTTTCATGTGGGATCTTGTCGGGTCCTTGTTTTTTTTGGTATGCACTTGTCTGGCGTGTGGGACCGCACTGGCGCTATTCCTCTTCCTTTTTTTACAAGCTTGCGCAGCACACCTAGGGCGATCAGGGGGGTCATCGGAAACGTCCTGGATAACCCCAAGACAGCACACGAACGCTCCAAGAAACCGTCATACCCCGAAAGATCGCTCCACAACGTACCAAGAGGCCTCCAAGAGCACCCCCAAGAAGGCCCCAAGAGGGAATACTCATCGATTTAATGTAGGTTTGTGGTGAATTTCGGGTTCTCCTCTTCTCGGCTTCCCGACGCTCCAGGACAGCGGTCTTCTGGGCGTCCGAAGTCGCCTGGGAGGCTCCAAAATCGCCCCACAGCTATCCGAAAGGGCTTCCAGGCAGCCCAAGAGAGCCCCAAAACGGCACACCAGGGGTCCAAAATGGCCCTAAGAGAGCCCCGTGGCGGCCCAAGATGGCCCCAAGACACCCTCCGAAGCATTCTAAATCGTGACCAGGGCGTTGAGGGAAACCGCGGTTAGAGGCAGGTTGGCCTTAGGAAGCCCCAGAGGCCCCCAGAACACGCCCGGGAGGCTTCAAGAAGGCTTTCAGAAAGCTTGAGAACTTTGGTGAGGCCCCCAGAGGCTCTCCAAGGAGGAGTCTCCGCAAAAAGAGCTGAGGAGGATGGGGAGAATACCCAGGGTATGGCGAGAATGAGGAAAAATAAGCATGGAGGAGGGATAGCGAGCAACATTAACGGCGATGCCAGAAAAGGCAGCAAGGAGTGATCGCAAAATTGTCCGCTTGACCTTCCTGCCATTTCCGCCGGCATACCAATCTTCGAGGACCAAGGTGCAGTGGCGCGAAGCGCCACTGCAGTCTTGTATATATATATACATATATATATGTATATATATATATGTATATATATATATACATACATATATATATATGTATATATATACACATGTATCTATATTTATGTGTATATATGAAAATGAAGGGGATCCCGGGGCCCTGCAGTTCACTAAGTCGGTACCTGGCCATTTTGGACCCGTTGGGGAGCGCCAGAACGCGTCAAAGGAGGGGAAGAGGGGCGACGAGAGGACCCGAGAGACGTCCAAGAGGGCGCCAGGATGGCCCAAGAGCGCTCCAAGAGAGCCCAAGACCGCACAACAGCGTTTCAATATTGGTCCAACATGGCTTGAGGGCACCCCAGGAGGGTATCAAGACGGCCAACGTACCTTCAAATGGGTTCCCACGGTGCCCTCAGGAGGCGGAACAAGCAGTTATGTTCGACAGGTGTTCGATGACAATTTTTCGCGTTCTTTTTTTTCGTGCTTCCGATGGTCCAAGACAGCCCATGAGGCCGCAGAGTTCAGTTCAAGATCGTCCAAGAGGCATCCAAAGAGGGCAGCAGGACGGCGCAAGAGAGTTCCAAGACGGCCCAAGAGTGCCCCAAGACGGCCCGAGAGGCGCCCAAGATCGTCCAAGAGGGCCCCAAGATGGCCCCAAGATGGGCCCAAGAGGGGGAACACGAACCGACAATTCAAGCGTTCTGCCCCAAGAGGCTCCCAGGAGCCCCAAGAACCCCCCAAGAGAGCCCAAGAGGCCCAATAGAGGCCCCCCGGAGGCCCAAAAGAGGCCCCAGAGAGGCCCCCCAAAAAACTCCAAGAGAACCCCACAGGCCCGCAAGAGGCTTCCGAAACTGCCTTCAAGAGGCGCTCCAGGAGGCCTCCCACGAATTCCAAGCGAACTTCCAAGAGGCCTCTATCCCACAACCCAGGCACGGTGGCGGGATGGGCCGAAGGCCACTAGATGGTCCAACACGCCAAGACGGCCTCCAGGCGGCCTCAGAGACCTCCAAGATACCCAAGAGGCTTCCAAGAGGTCTCCCAACAGAGCTCGAAGAGGCCAAGAGACATGTATTTTCCGTAGGTGTTTGAGCAATTTTGGCGTTTCCGCCTGTTCCGATTCCCGACGCTGCACGACGCCCCAAGAGGCTCCGAGGATCGCCCCAAGACAGCCCAATAGGCTTCAAAAGCGCCCCAAGGTTGCCCATTGGGCTTCAAACGCGCCGAAGACACGTCCAAGACGGCCCGAGAGGGCCCAAACCGCGGCACAGGATCGGGGACGTGAACCGAAAACCCGAGATCTTCGCCCCAGGAGACCCCCAGGAGGCTTCAAGAGGTCCCCAAGAAGCCCCAAGGAGGTCCAAAAGAGAGAAGCCCAGAGGGCACTTGAGAAAAACCGGTATTTCAAAATTTCTTTGTTCAAAGTTCGCCTGGCAGCTTCGCTACGCTCAAGAAAACAACATATTTCCTCCGGTTCCTCCTCCTCCGGTTCCTCCTCCTTTGTGGCCTCCTCCACCCTCTCCAACTTCTCTTCATGATCCTTCTCCTTCTCCCCCACGGAACCCCTTCACCTCCCTTTCTCCTCCTCCTTCCTCCGGCTACGTCCAGCCGCGGCGAATAAAAGGGCTCCCGAAGTGCCCTTTGAGCATGTCTTAAGCCGTCGTGGGTGGACCGTAGACAGTCTTGGAAGCCACTTGGGCCGTCTTCGTTGCTCTCGGAAGCCCCAGATGAGACGTGCCATTGAGGTCCCCAAGAGTTCGACCATCCAGCCTGGCCAGAGTCTGAGCGCGCGCGAAGCGCGCCCAATGATGTACGTATTTCTTTATCTGTGTATATCATATAAGATTCGCAAAATCTATTTGCAAATATCCCGGGCAACGGGGTCCAGGGCCCTGGCTCGGGGGCCCCAACACGGTGTGGTGACCACACCGTGCGGTGAGTCGGTGGGGATTCGGGGTCACTGCACGGTTTTGGGCCTCGGGTCGTTCTCCGAGGACGTCTCGGGCGATTGGGGCATCCGAGGTCCCAAAACCGTGCGGTGACGGACCGTGCGGTGAGGTCAGGGGGGATTTCGAGGTCACCGCACGGTCCGTCACCGCACCGTTTCGGGACTCCAAACTGGCCCAGAGACCTCGACCGCGCACAGCGCGCGGGCCCGCCGAGCCAGCCAAGACCGCCCCCGAGGCCAGCCTCGACACACGACGCGGGGGCCCCAGGAGCTCTCCTCCTTCTCCTCCTCCTCCTCCTCCTCCTCCTCCTCCTCCTGCTCCTCCTCCCTCTCCTCCCCGCCCCCCTTTCCTCCTCGCTGTCACGTGACCACTTCCCATTCCGGCCGTATTTGCCTCAAAGCAATTTGGCTGGAGGTGTCGTCTCATCGCGTGTCCCAGCTACGGATCGCATCGGTTCAACATGGTGACAACGTCAAGTGCGATCCAGAGCGTCGTGGAGGCATATGTCTCCAGCGTCGCACCAAGCATGTCGGCCTTTGGCTTCTTGACCCTGGTGCCGTTGAGCTCGCAGGAAAAGCCAGCCAATGTGCTGGCAACTGGGGAAGGTTGTGGAGAGGTGAGTTCGGAAAGCATCACTCGGATAGTGGAACAGCATGAGGTCGTGTTCATCGTGTCTGTCTACAGGACGACGAGGGAGAACAGATGCGCGTTATGTCTCTTGGACTATCTGAGGACGGCGCACCCCGACGCGCTCGTCTTCTTGCTGCAGCTTCCAGACCAAGGACTACGTCAGTACACTGATGGCGCGACAGGACGAGATCTGCAGCTTTGGGGCGAAGGGCGTGCTGATGGAGCTGGAAATTGACCCTGAGGGGCTGCAAGATAGGTTAATTTTGGAGCTCGTACGGATTGACGGCACCGAGCAGCGAGTGCGGGCATATGAGAACGATTCGTACGGTTGGGAACCCCTGACACCAAGCGCGTGCCAGATCATCGAGGACGAGTTCCGCGACATCCTTTGGAAGACCATCCCGAATTTGCTGATGCCCGGTTTCCCGCGTCTGAACAAGCGTTTGCTGGAATCTGGGAATCGGGTCGGGGATTTCCAGTTAGTGCGCTCGTATTTGAATCACCAGCACGTGATGTTGGCGGTGAACGGGCAGCATGAACACGTAGTGATAAAGGTGCACAACAAGCGTAGCGTCACCGATGCCAATGAGGTTCAGAACATATACAAAGAGTTCTGTTTCTTGACTCACACCCTTGACCACCCACACATCATACGTTGCGTAAGCATGTTGCACGGCAAGTGTAATGTATATGCGGTTCTCCAGTATGCTGGCGACGTTTGCATGGAACAAGTGTTGTCGACTCAACCAGGCCACCGCTTGTCCAGGGACGACGCCTTGAACTGCAGTGCCCAGGTCGCGAGTGCTCTTGGCTACTGCCACGCCCAGGACGTCGTCCATGGGCAATTGTCTTTGAGGCACGTGGCAGTAGAGATAGCATGTAATCGGCACATTTGCCGCCTTGTTGACTTCAGCATGGCAGCCCACGTTCCAAATTCCAGCACAAGGGAGACCCTGTGCGGATCTCTGCCGTGCGTCGCTCCAGAGACCGCGCTGGAGGAGCCGTACTTGCCCAAGCCAGCAGATTGTTGGAGTCTTGGGGTGCTGTTCCTGGAGACCTCTTGCGGGCATGGTTCGCTGGAGTTGTCGGTCCGGTGGCGCCGTGGAGAGACCATCGCATATGCCGCACGGCGGATACTCGAATTCTTCTCCAAGGCTGGTTGCCACCAGGAGGCGATGACGAGTATGGGTAACGTGCACGACGACATAGCACTGGCATGCTTGGTGTCGGTGTTGAAACCCGAGCCCGTTCGCAGAGCGAAGGCGTCCCACATGGTAGGATTGTTTTCTGCCGGAGATACAAGGTGAAATCGCACAGAGAAAGCCGAGTTTGATTTGATTTGAAGTCAGTTGCTTCTGCACTTTTGACGCGCGTGCAGGACTGAATGCAGCCCACAGCTTCACACCTGTGGCGATTGCTACTGGAAGCGCCAGGTTTTCTGCCACAGTCGGTGTCCACGGCCACGCTTCCACTCGGGAGAGAGTCGGAAGAATTATTGCGAAGGCCTTACGGCCGTTGCCGCCGACCCTGAAGATGACGAAAGACATTACGAGGGGGGGGGGCATGAGGAGGAGGAGGAGGAGGAGGAGGCTGAAGGGAGTAGGAGGAGGAATGGTGAAGGGGGAGGAGGAGGAGGAGGCCTTATGGATGTTGGTTGGGATCTCGTGGTTGACCTCTCGGGGGCGTCTGGAAGGCAACTTGAAGCCTCTTGGGGGCCGTTGTGGGGCCTCTTGGGGCCTCTTTTGGGCCTCTTGGGGCTTCCGGAGGCCGTCTTCGGCGCATCTTGGGGGCGTCTTGGCGCCGCTCGGGGGCCTCTTGGGGCCTTTGGGGGCCTCTTGGGGCTTCCCGGGGGCCTCTTAGGGCGGAAGTCTCGAATTCTCGGTTCCTCGTCCCCTTCTTGGCCGTTTCTTGGGCCCGTCTTGAGGCCCTATTGGGCCGTCTTGAGCGCCTCTTAGGCTGTCCTGGGGCCTTCTTGGGCCGTCTTGGGGCCCTCTTGTAGGCCTCTTGGGGCGCTCTTGGGGGCCTCTTGGGGGCCTCTTGGGCCGTCTTGGAGTGTCGGAAAGCCGAAAAGGCGAGAAGGCCAAAATCATTCAAAAACCGATGTAAAAATGACGATTTTGGCGCCTGGGGCCCTCTTGGGTGTGCTCTTGGGGCTCTCTTGGAGCGTCTTGAGGGCCTCTTGGGCCGTCTTCGGGCCGTCTTGGGCGTCTTGGGGCCATCGTTCGTCGAGTCGAGGCCCTCTTGTACCCTTTTGGGGGTGTCTCCTGTCGCTCTTGGCTCGTCGTGAAGCTTTTCTGAGCTCCGGGACCCCCCGGGGAAGATGCGTATCTGGGTGGCGACCCCCCCCCCACCCCCCCCACCCCCCCGGCGGGGAGGGTAGGGAGGGGCTTCGCCACGACTCAACTACGACGTTGCTCAATGTCGCTTTGGCTCGCGCGCTCAAGGAGACGGGGAACGACGAAGACGACGAGGGACAACGGAGACGGAGACGACGAGGACACGACGGAGACGACGACGACGACGACGACGACGACGACGACGACGACGACGACGACGACGGTGATCCACGCAAGACGACGACACCGGGATGCGTCTTCCACACGCCGACAGGAAAGCCGAGTTTGATTTGATTTGAAGTCAGTTGCTTTTGCACTTTTGACGCGCGTGCAGGACTGAATGCAGCCCACAGCTTCACACCTGTGGCGATTGCTACTGGAAGCGCCAGGTTTTCTGCCACAGTCGGTGTCCACGGCCACGCTTCCACTCGGGAGAGAGTCGGAAGAATTATTTGTGAGGGTGCGTGCCCTCAGTTCCCTTTCCCCCTCTCACCTCCCCCTCCTCCCCCTCCTCCCCCTCCTCCTCCCCCTCCTCCCCCTCCTCCCCTTCTCCTCCCCCTCCCCCTCCTCCTCCCCCTCCTCCTTTGGCGTCCGAGAGCGGGGGTCGCTAGCCGAGCTAGGGCAAACTTTTTCCTTTTAAAGCCCTCGCGATGGCTTAGCGCAGGCGCCCGAACTCCACGACCCGATCCCGATCTGAACCTTCCTTTGGCGCTGGTCAGCCCCCTCTTGTGCCCCCCAGCCTATGGGGGCTGCGGGGCCGAACCAGCGCCGTGGAGCCCCCCTGCCATCAGATGGAAAGCTGGGCAGACCTCTCCCCGGCGGAGGTGGGGGTACTTCCTCACGGGCGTAGGCCTTCAAGGAGTGGTGCCCCGTCGGTGCGGCCGATGGTCGGCTCTTCACCACGCGGAGAGAGTTACGCGGCGGGAATGCTCAAGTGAGGAGTAGACGGGAGGGTGGGGGGTGGAGCAGTTGGAGGAGTCCACGACGGGACGACTGCAGGTTTCGGACTGGCAGAGCCCATCTGAGGTGGAGTGGACGGGGATCCGTCTGTAGATACTTGTTGCGCGGAGGAGCGACGCTGACACAGGCAGCTCCGTGCGGACACTGTGATTGTGGCAGGCCCCTGCGCTGCTGCCGCGTTGAACTTTTTCTTTACTGGTTGAACTTCTTGTTTACTGGTTTCCCGATCGAAGTGCTCACACGTGCCATCTATTTTCAGGAGGCGTGCCGCACAGCAGTGCCCAGTCGGCGACCACATTGGGATCCTCGAGCATCCGGGCAGAATTGCGCCGAGCTTCCGCAGAGCGGGGCCATCTTCCAGGAGAAGCCTGGGGCAAGCATTTGAATGTGGGGCCGTCTGCTTCCGTGGCACCGGGCAAAACATCGGAATGCCCCCAATACCCGGCGCGCACTTCCCCGCAGGCGTAGGCAGTTAAGTAGTGCCACCCCGAGCGTGCGGCCGATGGCCGGCTCCTATCAGCGCGGAGAGCGTTACTCGGCGGGACGGCTCAAGTGAAAGGAGTAGACGAGCTCGGTAGCAAATTTTGGGAGCCTGGTATACCCTCTTAATTCCGTCTTTAGCTTCGGTTAGCGTCGATTAGCCTCTAGAGTCGATGAGATAGCGCCGATTTCGCGTCGGATAGCGTCGATTAGCGTCGATTTAGCGTCGATTAGCGTCGATTTAGCGTCGATTGGCAAGAGCCGACAGGTTGGTACGGGAGGCTCCCATGAGTTGCCACCGAAGACGAGCGAGAGGGGGCTGGACGCAGTTGGGGCGGAGTCCACCACGGGACAACTGCGGTTCTCGGACCGGCGGGGCCCGTCTGAGGCAGAGCGGACGGGGGTCCTCCTCCCTCTCATGCCCCCCTTCCCTGGCATCTCCCTCGTCGTCCCCCTCCTCCCTCTCATGCGCGGGCCGGCGCGGTGCATGCTTTCGTCCTCTCGCTCTGGCGCCGTGGTGCCAGTGCCGGAGATGTTTGTAGAGGCTTCGGTGAATCGCACCGCCAGAGACGGGCCACTGGGGGGTGGTCGCCCTGAACCTCTTTGCTCTGCCGCCTGCCCCCTTGGCGAGGGACAGGCGGGCCACCAGCGAGGCGTTTTTTTGCTCTCCTTCTCTCTCTCTCTCCGTCTCTCGCTTTGTTCTTTTTTTTTTGTTTTCTCTCTCTCTCTCTCTTTTGTTTCCTCTCTCTCTCTCTCTCCCTCTCTCATTCGCTCTGGCGCGCACCCCTGAAGTTGAGGGTAGCTCTATTGCTAGGTTCTATCTTACCGTCACTCATTCTTTCAGCCTCGCATTCATCTTAGTCTGCAAGGCATGGCGTCGCCTATCAGGTGTATCCAGCGAGTATTCAATGTCGCACGGCATGCTGTGACGAGCGTGTTGCGAAGGAAAAATGTGTAAGCGTTATTGGAGAGGCTTTACCGCTGGTGCCGCCGACTCTTAACGACGACGATGGCGACGATGCTGACGTGGGTCAGAGTCCTCAGGGATACTTCTCGGGGTCTCTTCGGAGCGCTCTCGGGTACATCTCGGGGGTAATTTTGGGGCCTCTTGGGAGCCTCCTGGGGGCCTCTTGGGAGGCTCCTGGGGGCCTCTTGGGGCTCCGGGGCGCATCTTGAGGGTTTCTTGGGGGCGTCTCGGGGGCTTCTTGGCGCTTCCTGGGAGCCTTTTAGGCCGAGGGCTCGAAATGTCCGTTCGGTTTCCACGTCTGGGCACTCTCTTGGAGCCGTCTTGGGGGCCTCTTGGGCCGTCTTGGAGGCCTCTTGGGCCGTCTTGGGGCCCTCTTGTGTTGTTTTGGGGCCCTCTCGGAGGCCTCTTGGGCTATCTTGAGGCGATCTTGGGGGCCTCTTGGGCCGTCTTGGAGTGTCGGGAGGGCCGAAAATGCAAGAATCCCTGAATCCAGCAAAACCATAGGAAAAAATCAATCATTTTTGCCTCTTGGGGTCCTCTTGGGAGTGCTCTTGGAGGCCTCTTGGGGCGTTTTGGAAACCTTTTGGGCCGTCTGGAGTCACCTTTGGCGTCTTGGACAAAGAGTTCGGCGATTCGGGACCCTCTTGGACCGTCTTGGGGGCCTCTTGGGGCAGCCTAGGTTCGAGGGGTTTTGGGCTTTGGGACCCCCGGGGGGGGAAGGCATTCTGACCAGGGACCCCCCTCCAGGACCCCCCCCCCTGGGACCCCCCGCGGGACTCCCCCGCGGGACTCCCATCGGACCCCACCCCCGGCGGGGAAGGGATTAAGCGAAGGGGCTTCCCTTCGAATGAATTGCGCCGTTCGTTACATCCGAGCAGTTGATTAAGAAACCTCCTCCCGAAAGCTGGGCCAGCGGCCAGTGTTTCTTGGCCAATTTGCTTGAAAGCTGGCTCAGTTTCTTGAGCGCGTTCGCCCCTCCAGCGTCTACAACAGAACCTGGCCCGGGCGAGTTTTGAGAGACTTCCTGGAGGCTGGCTCAGATTTCTTACTCTAAAAGAGACTGGGGCAAAGGCGAGAGATAACGAGCGTTTGTCCGCGGCCGTTTGTGCTCAAGCGGCCAGCCGCCAATATATGATTGTGCCTCATCGCGAGGCACACGAGTTGCCATTGAGACCGAAAACATCTTCGCTTGACATGGCCCGTCGCTCCCGCGACGAACTCCTACTTCTCGGACTATCGCTACTACGGTACAACAGAATTGGATATGGGCTTCGCTTTGGGCGAAACGTATGGTTGGGCCTCCTAACCCCCCCAAAACTTGGTAGCGGAGCTGGCCTATGGTGGCCAGCTCTAGCTCTATTCACCACCATCCACGGCACTATCTGGTGGACTACTCACATGGTGGAACATCAGGGTGCAGTGGGTTTTTTCGCGGAAGAATTTACATATTGAGGCACGATCGCAGGGACACTTGCAGTGCTACTTCAGTTCACGCGGACGCCTCATTTGCCTCCGACGGGTCGCTATCAGATGTGCGGCTGGGCACGCGCAGCGTGGCGGAGACGACGCGCGTACTACTGGCCCCCACTGGGACCCTGCCGGTGACGTACCTTTCCGCGAATTCGTTCGCGAGGTACACGCCTGGATCAACGTGACGACAGGCAACATGACCCCCTCTTGACAGGCAACGGCATTACAGCGTGGTCTGGGAGGGCTCGCAAGGACCATTGCCATGAGAGTACCTTCCGCAATCATTAACTTTGGCGTGAATATCGGCGGTCGCCACACCGACGTCGCCACCTACATCATGTTCCTCCTCAGCACGAAGTTTGATCATCTAGAGGAGGAACGCCAACTTGATTCGGGAGCGGCTCTCATCGATTTTCGCGTCCATGTGGGGGGGCGGATCGACCAGCCGTTAGCCCGCTTTGAGATCGCACGCTTTGAGGCCGAGGCCGCAGGCTTCAACCTTCCCAGCTTCCAGATCCCAGCAACTATATGGTTCAGAGCCCAGGGTGTCGCGTGCGCAGCAACTGCCACAACCACTAAACCACCAGTTCCAAGGACCCAGCAACAGTTTGATTCTCTACTAGAACGCATGAGGTTTTATCTTATGCCCACATTGCTGAGCGAACCCCTGGCAACATTGGTGGTGTATTTAGCCGCGGCCATCGCGCCGAAGTCTTTCAAACCGACATCAACGCAGGGCTACTTGCTAACAGCGTCCGGGCCGACGATCCACAACCAACTGAGGCCACCGCCTTATTAAGCCGACAAGGTGGCCAGCCTACGGGGTCGCAAGATTCCTGGGCTCGCTATCAGAGGCCGTCAGCAACGGCGGCCCCTGCTCAAACCATTACCCTTGTAGTCTCTGTGGGGCGAACCGCCGAGTCTGAATTTGAGTCGAGTACCGACGCCGACACCTCATCAGATGAAGGGGACTGGTGCCTTGGTGGGCTTCCCCGACATTCGTGCGTATCTCGCCGAAGTGCAGCGGGCGCAGTGGTTATTCCCAGGATGCCAGAAACACAAACGCCGATGGAAACGCTTTATACAGAAACCAGCTCGCAAGGTACGACGCGCGGTCCGACGGGCGTTTTGGTCAAAGGGCAAGGGTAGAGGCCAAGGTAGATGGCGATTGCATGGCAGAGGTATCTAGGCATTCCTGGCATCTCTTGCGGGACCACAATACGAAGCAATGCTCCTGGGGACAGGTTGTGGCCGTAGGCACACCTCAGGAAATCGCAAGGGGCGCCGGGGTACCCCGAAAGACGCCGCTGGGAGAACCATGGAATGCGATATCTGCCAGTCGTGAGTGCCCCCAAGGCTACGGGAGAGGCAGGGGTCAGTCAATGCATTTGGCTCAAACCGGTTTCGACATTCGGCGCGTCGATCGGGGGTCGCGTCTCGCCGAACCCGAAGACAACCCCGCTTCGGCTGTCCACTTCATGGCCGCGAGGCATCTGCGCGCCAGCGTGTCCCTCGAGAGATGCGCCGGTGAACTCTCTGAGGAGATCTACCTACGTCGGCCGCGACGAGACCAACCTGGTGGACTGGCTGGGATGCGGAGTTCGTCGAGGACTACCGCATGCCCGCCGATTCGGATCACGAGTTGGCGGGGGCACCTGCGGACCCTGATGCGACGATGCCAGCTCTGGAGGGGGAGCTCCAACTGGTGCCCCGACCGCAGGGCATTGGGGACCCCTCGTACGGGGAACCATGCGACGACGATCCTTCACGGGGCAACCCGCGCGATGCTGGCGACCTCTCCGAGCGCGTTCAATGCGAACTCGGACGTGGCGAAGGCGCCCACTTCACGTTCGTGCAGCGCGACTGGTCTACAAGCCGCCCCGTTTGGAGGCGAGCGCATCGCGCCGGCGAGGGAGCTGAGAGCCATCATCCACGACATCATGGGCGGAGTCGCTCGCGCAGGCGCTCGCGCGCCCGTTCCAGTCGCGCACGGCGCCCGCGAACGCCCGATCGGAGGGTCCAAAGAACGCGCCCAGAAGGGGGCGCTC